TGGGCACCCCTGCTCTATATGGACTGTAAACCATTTTGAGTAGGCCTTTCTTTACCGCTTGTCTCTGTCATTATTTTGCATGCCAATTACTTGTTGTCCGATATCAACATTCTATGATTTATTTATTTTTTCCAATGTATACTTTTTACTGAGTGAATACAAAATAATATTTCAGTCCAAGAATGTTCATTGAAGGGTTAAAGGGACAGGAACACTGCACCTAGATCACTTCAATTAGATGAACTGGTCTGGGTGACTGTAATGTCCCTTTAAATCTACTTCAACAATTCAGATTTATTTATTTTTTACTTTTACTTTTTTTTTTTTTTTTTACAGTCTCAAAATATTAATATATTCTCTGCATGCAGTATGCTTCATATAGTTTCTCAAGGCTTGTGTGTATATCTGAAAGAAAAAAAAAAACTTAAACAATGCCCCTTATATGAAAAATGTTTTTGTGCCGCTATTAAATCTAAAAAAAAACTTACCTTTATTATGTACAAAAAAGTACCAGAGTGAAAACATATAAGAAAAGATAAACAAAGTGACAGAAGCAAGGGCAAACACAATAAAACAATAATAAATTACCACAAAAATTCTTACAAGCCTCCAGACAGAAACACGAGTCACCAAACCCCCAACGTTTCGGCACCAACTGGCTGCCTTTATCAAGGGTACCCTTGATAAAGGCAGCCAGTTGGTGCCGAAACGTTGGGGATTTGGTGACTCGTGTTTGTCTTGAGGCTTGTAAGAATAAAGGCAGCCAGTTGGTGCCGAAACGTTGGGGGGTTTGGTGACTCGTGTTTCTGTCTGGAGGCTTGTAAGAATTTTTGTGGTAATTTATTATTGTTTTATTGTGTTTGCCCTTGCTTCTGTCACTTTGTTTATCTTTTTTTATATGTTTTCACTCTGGTACTTTTTGTACATAATAAAGCTAAGTTTTTTTTGAGATTGTTATAATGTGCATTCTATATTCTATATACATTTGAATATTTAAAGCACTTGAGGGAGTGTTTATATGGTTTGCACCTGGCTGTTCTTATACTATTTTGTCTCTCCATGTGCTGTTGTTTTGCATGGAGACACTGAACACTCCCCACAGAAATAGATTGAGCTATAGCTCCATCAGAGGTGTAAAGCAGCAGCCCACACTGGGCACCAGGGGACTGTGGATCCACTCCATTTCTCCTAAAGGTAAGGAGACTGGGTGGCAAAAAAATAAAACAAATTTTAAAAAAAGCACTTTTTTTTTTTTTCCTGCGGAGTGTGTGTGAGAGAATGTTTGTTGGTGTGTGAGATTGTGCCTGTGGTTGTTTGTGTGGCTCAGTGTTTTTGAATGTGTTTCATTATGTGTGTATGTGCCCACAATACTGTCCCCAATCCCCAACAATACTGTTCATATCCTCACCAACCTAAAGCCCCCCACAGAATTGCACTTATTAAACTCACACTAAAGCCCCAATCCCCACAATACTACGCCTCCCCTCCCAATACTACCTTATCCTTCACTAAAGCCCCAAACCCACACAATACTGTCCTTGTTCCAAGACAATACTGCCCCTACCCGCCAGGCCATGGCCCCTATCCCCCCACTAAAAGCCCCAACCCCACACAATACGGTTTCTACCCCCCCCCCCACTCTAATGCCTCTACCTCCCACAATACTGTCCTTGTACCAAGACAATAATGCCCATATCCCCCCACTAAATTCCCAGTCCCCCACAATACTGCCTCAATCCTCCACAATACTGTCCCTATTTGCAGACAATACCCTGCTATCCCCCACACTGAAGCCCTTATCCCCACAATACTGTTACTATATCACCACACTGAAGTCCCAATACTATAGTGTTCCTATTCCCTACTTAAGCCCCAAGTCCACACAATACTTCCCCTTTCCACCCACACTAAAGAGTAAATCCCCATCACAATAAAATCCCAATCCCCACAATATTGACCCTATCCACACCACTGATGCCCCTATTCCACACCACTAATGCCCCTATTCCACACAATACTGCTCCTATTCCCCACACTAAAGCACTTTATAATGTGCCCTACTTTATACAGCACTTATCCCCCCACAATACAGCCACTAAACTAAAATACTACACTAAATCCCAGATACGATCAATAGTGTTCCTATTCCCAAACTAAAGAATCAATCCCCCACAATATGGCCCCTGATCTCCTCACAATAAAATCCCAATCCCCCAAAATATTGCCCTTATACCCCCAACCCCCACTAAAGCCACTATCCCACACAATACAGCCCCTGTTCCCCCACAATACACTGCAGCCCCTATCCGCCACAAAACAGACCATATATACTACCCCTCTCATATATTTAGTCTGTAAGTTTGTTTCAAATCAGTGAGCGTGTGTGCCACTGTGTCTGCCAGTGTATGTTTAGAACCAGCGAGAGTGTTTATATGTGTGTGTCTGTCAGTGTGTGTCTCAAATTGGTGAGTTTGTCTGTCAGTGTGTGTCAAATCAGTGAGAGTGAATGTGACCGTCAGTGAATGTTTGAAATTTGTGAGCTTTGTGTCTGTCATTGAGTATGTCAGTGCGTCTGTCAGTGTGTGTGTCTGTCAGTGAGAGAGTGCGTCTGATTACAAAAGGGTGTGTAGCTTATAGATAGTCGTTGACATAGAAACAGGCAGGTCTGGGCACTTGTAAAGGGGAGGAGTTAGTATGATGACCAGCCCACCTGGGGGCACCAAAAAAATTCTGCAACTAAGCATCTGTGATCGTAAGATCGGCCCTGACTATACATATACATTTTTGTATTCCTGGCAGTATAGTGTTCCTTTTACGTTAAAGTTGTTTTGGTGCTAACAATACCGCTTTAACAGCTTGTAAACTGCATTAATGCTCCGTCTTCTCACTGGATGATTTTGTATCATTTATATTTTTTTTTTTCTTGAAGTACTTGAGAGTACATTGCACAATATTATGTGTTTTTTAGCAAGAGTTAGTTTGTTCTGTGCTGAAATGCTGGAATTAATATTAAATCTGTATGTTATGCTAATTCCGCCATATTTCCTTTTTCTTAGAATGCTGACATAAATCTCAGATGACTTGACATGCTTTATTTATTATATATATTTACTCCGGATGTCTGAATACAGACACTTGGATGAGGGCCCTACAATGAGCAACATGCAGCCTATGTAATTTCCTTTTCACTGCCTTGCATGACTTTTAACTATGTAACTGAAGAATGTCTATCAATTATCTATGCCTATACACTGACTGACTCTAGATGCACTTGATTTCATTGACTTTTATTTTTAACTTGTAGAACTGTACAGTTGCTGTGCTTGAAAGTGGGTCTGGATAAGGTTTCCGAAATTAAAGAAGAAAGAAAAGTAGCTGCAACTAGAGATAGTGGCAGTGTTACATATTTTGTATTGATAACTTGACGTAGATATACACAATTATATCAATTAAAACAAATGCACTAAACTAATTGTAGCTTACAACTTGCAAACATTACTTTGCACAAAGCACAGCTAATCATGGATAATTTTAGCCACCAACCTTCATTAATAGCCACCACTGGTCCAAGCCTCCAGGCTGTTTAGGGCAGGAATTTCTGGAGTAAACTCTGTGAATGTCTTATATGGACAATAATTACAAGTTGCCAGCAGATGTTTAACACTAATTGCCGATTTAGTTACTGATGTTCATGGGGGAATGTATTGTATTTTAGAAATATCTGGGTTTTGGTGTAAAACGCTCTATATTGAATACATGTGAAATGTAATAAGTGGAGGGATCAGCTAATTTGCTCACTGCACTAGAGGAATATGAAGTCTTAATCTGAATCTGTCATGGTTACTAGTGTATTCCCATTTTTTTGCCGTAGGCTTTCTTGCTTTTGTCCTTTGGTGTTTACACCTTTCTTAAGATTGAAGAAAAGAAATTAAATCATGTACGAAAATTTTTTTGAGACATTGAGGTGAGAGACTCAAGCGTGGTGTGAAATTTTACCCATAATCTAGAGTCAATATAGTAAAATAGTCGTGAGTACATGATCAATCTTAACGGACCTTCACAAACCTCAGAACTCTAGCCAATTTTGGCATTTATAATTTAAGAAAGTAACAAATGGTAACACGGTTTGTTACAACCATTGCATATGAAGAAAAAAAAAAACTCTTACAAAATCAGAATGCTATATTGGCCCACATTCTCTTCAGTGGGAGTAGGACACATATTCTGAAATACATAAAATTGTGGGTTATTGATTTATGTTCATGATGTCCGTAGCCAATGGAATCAGAATTACAGGTTGTAGTACTTGTCACTCTGGACAGAAGACGCTATTACATTGTGTTTAAGTTTAGTAATTTATATAGTATGTGCTAACTTATTCTGGGAAGCCCTGTGATGGATACAAGAGTTTAAGTATATACCCCTCGAGCCTAGTCTGTGTGCTAAACTAGGTCAGAGTATCATCTTCGAGTCAAAGGTTCACTTTAGGGATCGACCGATATTGATTTTTCAGAGCCGATACCGATACCGATATTCTGTGAACTTTCAGGCCGATAGCCGATATAATTTGCCGATATTCTGTACATTTACCATTTTGGAAAATAAAAACTATTTCTAAAGGTAAATGCACAAAATATACATGCCACGTGTAGTGGATGCAGTGTGACAGGGGAGCTGTGTGTGTTTGTGTAGTGTGTGTGTAGTGGATGCAGTGTGTGTTTGTGTAGTGTGTGTTATGGATGCAGTGTGTGTTTGTGTAGTGTGTGTGGAGGATGCAATGTGTGTTTGTGTAGTGGATGCAGTGTGTATTTGTCTAGTGTGTGTATTAGTGTAGTGTGTATATAATGAAAGCAGAGTGTTTGTGTAGTGTGTGGGTAGTGTGCGTAAAGTGAATGCTGTATATACTAAATGCAAAGTGTGTGTGTATATAATGAATGCAGAGTGTGTGTGTATTTGTGTAGTGTGTGTATAGTGAATGTAGTGTGTTTATATAATGCATAGTGTGTGTATATAATGCAGTGTGTTTGTGTAGTGTGCATTATATAAACACACTACACAAACACACTGCATTATATACACACACACACACTGCATTATATACACACACACTACACAAACACTGCATTATATATACACACTACACAAACACACACTGCATTATATACACACACTATACAAACACACACTGCATTATATACCCACACTATACAAACACACACTGCATTATATACCCACACTACACAAACACACACTGCATTATATACACAGTGTGTTTGTGTAGTGTGTGTATATAATGCAGTGTGTGTTTGTGTAGTGTGGGTATATAATGCAGTGTGTTTGTGTGCATTGTATACAAACACACACACTATACAAACACACACTGCATTATATACACAGTGTGTTTGTGTAGTGTATATAATGCAGTGTGTGAGGGGGCATTTTTTATTAAATTATTAAAAAAAAAATTATTTACTTAATTATTATTTATTTCTGTTGTCCCCCCTCCCTGCTTGTTACCTGGCCAGGGAGGGGGGATATAGCAGTCCCTGGTGGTCCAGTGGTATTGCTGAGCTTTGGGGGGGGCGGGCAGCAAGCGCTTACTCACCTCCCAGCAGCTCCTCCAGCTCCCAGTGCAACTCTCGCGGCCAGCGTGTCGCGCGGAGCGTTGCCATGGTGATCCATGGCAACGCTCTGACGGCCGCTGGTCTCGCGAGAGTTGCACTGGGGAGCTGCTGGGAGGTGAGTAAGCGCTTGCTCTCCGCCCCCCCAGGACCGCCGGGCTTGTAATGAGCCCGGCGGTCCCAGGAGGTATTATCGGCAATATCGGTATCTGAATTGGCCGATACCGATATTGCCGAGAATACCGAATATCGGCCGATTATATCGGTAAAACCGATAATCGGTCGATCCCTAGTTCACTTCCTTAGCCAATTATTCTTCTGAGTTTAATACAATGAGTACCACAAAGATTGCTAGACCACAGAACAAACTGGAAACTGCTGAGAAGCTAACTGTACCTTTTAATGCTTAAATAATTTTATGTATTTTTTTCACTTGTCAAACACATGAAGACACATCACTGCACGTATCCCCCCCCCTTTTTTAAAAATGGATTTTATTTTTTTTATTTTTTTTGTGTTGTCCTTGCTATGACGAAAGATGTTCTGATTATATTTCTATGGTAATGCACGGTTAGGATGTCAATCAGAAAATACTGAAACTAGAATTATTCTGTTACATTATAAGAGGATTTTCACGGATTTCCTAAAAGAAGCTCCAAGTGCGTGAGTGGCATACGCTAGATGGTAAATTATATATGCACCATTATCAAAATGTTTTTTAACTTGGGTAAAGATACCATAATTTTCTTTCAGTGGAGTGGAAGTTTCTTGGTGTGCATTGAAGCAAATATTATTTTGCAGGAATGTGTTTGATGTAGCCTCTGTTTCTTTTATCTGAAGTAGTACATGAGAAAATTATCAAAATGATTAGAAAGTGGATTATTCGCTTTGATAAAAAGGCAGTTGTGTCACTAAATAAAAAGATCTGCAATTTTTTTTTTCCAACCAACTGAAAAGTCAGTCAAAGCAGACTAATCCACTTCCAGTTAAAGGGACACTCCAGATACCCAGACCATTTCTGCCCATTGTAGTGGTCTGGTTGCCAACTCCCACTATCCTTAACCCTGCAACTGTAAAGATTGCAGTTTTTATAAACTGCAATATTTACACTGCAGGGTTAACTCCTCCTCTACTAGACAGCCACTAGAGGGCACTTCCGGGTTTATATCACACGAAATGTGCTATAGCGTCGCTGGACGTCCTCACGCTATGTGAGGACCTCCAGCGTTGCAAAAACCTCCATAGGAAAGCATTGAAAGCATTTTTAATGCTTTCCTATGGGGAGGTCTAATGCGCGTGCGCGACATTGCCGCGCATGCGCATTAGGTCTCCCTGACGCCGGCCGCGCTTGCGCAATAGGTCACCCCGCCAGATGACGTCGGTGGGGGGAGGAGCGTGGGCGGACCCTGAACCAGCGCTGAGGGGCATCAGTTTAAACCCCTTCAGCAACTTGGGATGGGGGGTGGGAGGGGGAGTGGACCTGCAGTGCCTGGGAAAACGGATTGTTTTCCTGGCACTGGAGTGTCCCGTTAAGTCAACACTCTGAGCACCATAACAACCGTAAACCCCTCACATAGGTAATAATAGAAAGGGGTATCTTGCCACTGTATCCCTCAAGTGCAGTGCAGTGTAATTTTGGCGGCACATTTCAGTTTATTTTTAGTCATAGTGCTTTGACTAAACAACCATTCTAGTTTTAGTCATATTTTAGTCTAATGAATTGTTTTAATCTAGTTTTAGTCGACTAAATCTCCAGTAGATTTATTTGACTAAGTCTCCAGTAGATTTTAGTCGACACAACTAAAATCGGTGGGTTTAGTTAAAGCCTCTATCTGTCTCTTCTGCTTCTTCTTCAGCACCTCTTTATTTCCTCCCAGGTCCTTTTGGTGTCTCTTTCCCAAGCCCGGGTCCGTCTCTCTCTCTTTTTCCCCTTCCAGAGCCCCTCTGTTCAGTGTTAATTTTGCCGGCAGATTTCAATTTAGTTTCAGTCTCTCATTTCTATTCTAATGTCCTTCTTTTCTAGGAGCGCCATATTGTTGGTGTGTCTGAGTGTAAACAGAGCACCACAGCAATAAAACTCACAGTAATGTGTTTTTAAACTACAATAAATGTGTTTAGAAATCGGTCTGCGTAAATAAGATACATTGTTCTTGTTCTAAATTACGTTTTAGCTTCGTAAATTACATAATATTTTTCAGGATAGCCACATCCCCTGGCCAAAACCCCTAAAATAAGTGTTCCTCTGTCCATTTGGAATTATTGGACGTTATGTCACCACTCTCTGTAAAGAAGACAAGGCCTTGTCTATAGCCATATTCACAAAACTGCTTTAGATATTTTAAAAGAAAACCAATCGTGAATTTTTTTTAAAAAACAACTATTTATAGGTATTTTTGTTTTATTCAATAGTGTAGATTCAAGAGAAGTGACAGTTCCTCTTTAAGCTTGAATTAAGCGGTTTTACATTTGTAAAGGCTGGTGATATGGGTTTATTTCTAATACACAAAACAATTTATTTTTGAAAAGTTCTCAAAACTTTTTTTACTTTCCATTCTTCCCCCAACTGCCACAAGGTACTATTGGGTCTCAGAGGACTCAGTTGCCCTTGAAATTCTTTTCTGGGGTAATTTCTGTTCTATTTCTTGTTTTCAAAAGAGATGCCATGTGGATTTCAAAAAAGCTTTGTCCTTGAAGTACAGTGTAAACACAGCATGGGCTGAAATCCTGCCTGCTTTCTCTTCATTCAACAAATGCTGGGCCTTCTGAATTATCTATCTATTTATTTATTTCATGCAATAGAAAAAGTGTGGTGTAGATTATGAATGGAAATATTGCTTGCAAAAAAATAAAAGACAAAATTGCTATAATTAGCATAGGTCATTAATGTTATTGCTGTCTCTGTATGCTTGCTTCTGCAATTTATAATAATTTGCTTAAAATTGTACTTGTTCATTTACCTCACACAGTCTTTGAAAAGCAGTTGCATGCAGGAGTTCTGTCATTGCAAATAGTTTTTGGTTGGATGGCATTAATGTATTTATTAACCCATTGAGGACCAAGATGCAAAGTGTTTGTGACCAAGACATTTTTGGCACGTTTGCCACGCATTTATTCTACCACAATTTACTTATTTCTGTTTAAGTGCACCCATAGATAGTGTATATAATTTTAATTGGCTTTCTTTTAATACCATATATGTATTCATGAGACATTATTAAATAGGAATACAATTTTAGCAAATGGGGGGAAAAACACGTTTTCTGTTTAATAATACGAACTCTATATAGATTAATGAATTAGTCCTGATTGTTTAAAATGACCAATATGTCTATGATTTCAATACATTTTTAGAAGTTATAGAACAAATACTGCAAGGAGTCAATTATGGTTTTAAAGCTAAAATTTAGCACAATTTGGCATACTGCGATTACAAAGTTAATTGTAGTCACAGAAAACCAATTCACAAAAGTATATATTTGTTTTAAGTACATTCCCCAGCTATGTAAATAAGAGCATTTTGACACTTTACATTTTACCATTTTATCACTAACCTAGGGCAAGTTAATACATTTATTTACTTTTTTTTAAACATATTACATCATTACTCTTAAAGGGACACTAGAGGCTTCAAAGCAATGTCCGCTTAAAGAAGCAGTTTTGATGTATTGATCATGCCCCTGCAGTATCACCATTCAATTATCTGTAGAGATGTCGCGAACCGTCCGCGGACGGTTCGCCGCGGTTCACCACGAGCTGTTCGCGGCGAACTCCGGTCAGCTGACACGTCCCGGCCAATCTCCAGCAGACCATCCCTCCCAGACCCTCCTACTTCCTGGACAGCATCCATGTTGAACCGTCCGTGAACTTCTCGCGAACGGTTCGCCGCTATCGTGGCGAACTCCGGTCAGCTGACACGTCCTGGCCAATCTCCAGCAGACCCTCCCTCCCAGACCCTCCTACTTCCTGGACAGCATCCATGTTTCAACAGAAGTTCGCGGACTGTTCACAACATCTCTAATTATCTGCCATTTAGGAGTTAAATCACTTTTGTCTCTGTCTATGCTGCCTTAGCCACAGTTCCTTTGGCTGTGACTCACACAGCCTGCGTGAAAAAAATGGTTGAATTTTCAATCAGATGTTAACTTGCTTCAGAAGTTTTTTTTATCTCCAGCTCTGTAAAGTGAACTATAATCACACACAGGAATTTTCTGCTGGGTCTCGAAGGCTATTAACAGAGCAGGAGATAAAGTTCTAAATTATAAAAGAATGTGCAATAAAGTAAGTTTATACATTAGAGCTATCTTTCCAGGAAGTGTTTAAAGGCTAAAGTCACGTGCAGGGAGATGTGGCTAGGGCTGTAAAAAGAAAGTGGTTTAACTCCTAAACGGCAGAGAATTGAGCATTGAAACTGAAAGGGCATGCTCTGTACACCAAAACTGTGTCATTAAGGTGTTTTGGTATCTA